GTTGATGCCTTTACGTAAGTACCTTCTCAAGAGAGTTGATCTCAGAAAACTAAAAATGGTTCTGCCTTTTGACCCAGCAATTCCACTGCTGGGACTCTATCCTAAGAACACTAAAACACCAGTACAAAAGAACCTTTGCACCCCGATGTTCATAGCAGCACAATTTACAATAGCTAGGTGCTGGAAGCAACCTAGATGCCCATCAGTAAATGAATGGATCATAAACTATGGTACATTTACACAATGGAATTCTATGCAGCAGAAAGAAAGAAGGAGCTCCTACCCTTTGCGACAGCTTGGATGGAGCTGGAAAGCATTATGCTAAGCGAAATAAGCCAGGCAGTGAAAGACAAATACCATATGGTCTCACCTTTAACAGGAACCTAATCAACAAAACAAACAAACAAGCAAAATATAACCAAAGACACTGAAATAGAGGACAGGCTGACAGTGACCAGAGGGGAGAAAAGAGGGAATTTCAGAGGACAATGGGAAGGGTTCACAGGAACAAATTTAAAGGACACATGGAGAAAAAATAGGGGGAGGGTGGTAATGGGAGGGAAGAGGGAAGGGTTGGGTGGGTGGGCTGGATTGGGAGTAAAAGGGAGAAAACTGTACTTGAACAATGATTAAAATAAAAATTAAAAAAAAGAGAGAGTTGAAAATAGGCTGGGAGTTACCTGGGAACCTCTGTCATCCAGACTCGAGCCTCGCTGACCCCACTGGCTTTGGGCCCTAATGTGTCTCTGCCTTTGTTCGCCTTCCTCTTCGCTCCTTGGACCACAGTCTGCGTCCAGGGGTCCTAACGCAACCCGAGGCCTGGGCAGCCTGTCCCAGAGGAGCGAGCGTTTTAAGCTTCTCTATTTGTAACCAACGTACCGATAGAGGTGCTGCTTTTTTGACCATCAGGGGGTGCTTAGCCAGGAGACCAGGATGCGCCTTGGTACTCTCCCTGTGTGCGGACAGCACAGAAGCAACAAAGGTTCACACACTGCAGCTAGCTGGGGTTACCAGCTGGGGTCAGGCAGATGTGAGGGTCCCCACCCTTCATCCTGTCAGCCAACCACCTGAACCCACCAGGAAATCTCCCTTGTCTTACAGAATCACAAAAAGTAGAGCTGGAGGCGCCTTGGAGACCATCTGATTACATGAGGAAACTGCTTATGACCAAGCAAGGTGTGTTCATCCATTCCCGACATCCCCCTGAGCCCCCCACAGGGTGCATGGTGCTAGTCGCTCAGCACCCAGAGGTGACAAGACAGGATACTTGCAGATCTGGGGCAAAACTTCAGTTTTCTTGCCCGCTGGTCCTTTACTTTTTCATCCCTCGTGGCAAGGTGGGTGACTCTTGTCAGGGTCCTACCTGAGGTGGTGTATAAAAGTAATTGAATGGGGGCCCTGGCTGCGTAGCTCAGTTGGTTAAAGCATCATCCCGGCATGCCAAGATTGTGGGTTCGATCCCTGGTCAGGGCACATGCAAGAAGCAACAATGAATGCATGAATAAATGGGACAACAAACTGATGTCTCTTTCTCTCTCTCCCCCCACAACCCCCACCTCTCTACAATCAGTAAGTAAAATAAGAAAAAAAACCTGACTGAATGAGATCCTCAGGACAGAATAGCCACGTTGGCCTATGGTGAGTGAAGAGGCTGGAAAAAGACAGAGAGGAAAGAGAAGATTTGGAAAGAATTAAGGCATCTTTGAAACCCCTTTCTAAGGAGTCAGGAAATTCAAACACCTCCAATAAGCAGCCAGGCGAGTATGTGGAAGTGAGTGGAAGTGGCTGGGAGACTGCAATGGGGGTGTCCTGTAGATTTGCGGGGGGTGGTGGGGGGGTGTCTAAGCCCCTGCGAAGGGCCAGCTGCTCCTGGGCTCTAACCTGTTGGTGCTGCAGGGGGGGAAATGGGCCCAGTGTTGCCGGGTCTTCCACTTCTTTCGAGAGAAAACATTTCTGACGGGGCCTCTCTGGACCTGCGGTGCGCTGAGCAGGCGGAACAAAGCGGGCAGCTGGGTCTGTCCGATCAGCCATCGCGGCACCCCCGTGGATCTCAAAATTAAAGCGCGGCGTAGATGCCTCAAAGGAAAGCAGGCTGCTCCCTCTCCTCTTCTTTAGTTCCGTCCTGCCTTTCCCGCAGAGTTATTCTCTGCTTTCAGAAAGGGCCCTGAGTGAATTATTCATGGTGTTGCCATTGGGAATTTTAACTTAGTGGTAGGGGTTCCACCGGCAGCGTCCACTGCAGGGCATGCGTTAGGGTCCCCGACTGAGACACACAGGCGTGGGAGTGGCCTTGCCCTTCTCTGTGCTTTCCTCCTGCAGCTCCCACATGGTCTCTAGGGGGATGAGAAAGTGTCCAGGAAAATCACACCTTTACCTACGAAAGGGAGCTCCAGCTGATTCAGACCCCTCTCTCTGAGCCTCTCTGGACACTGGCACCGCGGCTGAGCCCCAGGGGACAGGTGTGGCCCCCATCAATCAGGTGGGAGAACATGTACAGAGAGCAGCAGCAGGAATGGGTTAATTCTGACTGCAGATATCACAGTGGGCAGATGCGGTATTTGAGAAATATCAATGGATTGATTTTCCACCGGCCGCGATGGGGGAGGCTGTTCCAGTTAAAGGTTATGGCAGAGACAAAGTTCAAGCCACGTGCCCGTCGGTAGGGCTACTATAACAAAGTACCATACACGGAGTGGCTTAGGCAACAGGCATTTATTGTTTCACAGTTCTGGAGGTTGGAAGGTCAAGATCAAGGTGTGGCAGGGTTGGTTCAGAACTTGCTCTGTCCCTCTCTTCTCTCCTCTGGTGGATTGCCAGAAATCCTGGGTGTTCTTTCGCCTGTACAAGCATCAGCCCGTCTCTATCTTCATTTTCACAGAGAGTTCTTCTCTCTGTTCCTGTGCCTCTCCCCAATTTTCCCTTAAAAAAAAAAAAACAAAAACCAACGAACACCAGTCGTATGGATTAGGGATTCACCCTGCTGACCTCGTCTTAATTTAAGTGAAGACATCTATAATGACCCCATTCCAAAAAAGGTCACAGTCTGACATGCTGCAGGTTAAGACTTCAACATGCAAATTGTGGCGGGGACACAATTTAACCCATGACACCCAGGATGCGGGTCACGTAGTGTCATGTGTTGAGAGGAGGGCAGAGGGACATGGGACTGCAGGGAGACACTTTCAATAAACTATTAATAATGAATGAGAACGGCACACGCTGGCTGAACAGTTGTTTTACGCCAGGTACTATTCTCAGTACCTCCCATAGGATGTTTAGTCCTCGCCGTTTTTATAGATGTGGAGAAAGAGGGAGCATACTTTGCTCAACTTTGAAGCTTCCCTAAAATACCTCCAAAACGGGTTTATTCAAGAAGAAAAGAGGAAATGCTAATAATATTGAATGTAAACTGTAATTGCAAAAGAAGCCAAAAGAAAAAAAAAAGAGGAAATGATGAAGAAAGGCCGCATTTTCTGCGGTGCAGGGAAGCTGTTTCCTCCAAGTCTCTGGAAGCTGCCGGCTCAGTGTCCGTCCGCATGAACCAGCCCGAGTTGGTTTTGCTCTCCTGCAAGTCGACTGGCCAGGGAGTTTTGAGTCAGGACTGAGTCACAGCTGTGGTATGTCCTCCCGCCCGAAAACAAACTTTGTTTTTCCAGCCACCAAGGAAATGTTTGAATGGAGGAAACCGTTTCTGTGGTTATTTGTCACCTCTGGTTCACAGCAGAGTTTGTGCCCTGGGCGTTGCTTGGGCTTTGCGCTGTCCTCTGCCGTCCCTCCCGGTCTGGCCTGGCACTGCCCTTTGAAAGTCTCCTCCAAAACCAATCGACATTTGATGGTAATGTCAAAGCTGAGCAAACCCGTTCAGGGGGCCTCCAGGCAAGAGGAAGAAAGAAGAGGCTTGAGTGGGAGATGATTTTTTTTCTGATTATTGCTATAAAACCTGTTGCCTTGTTCCAATATTGGCTCTGGTCTTTCTGAATTACTCCTACAAACCAAAAAGTCCAACCTGGTCTGGGGACAGAGACACCCAGAGGAGGAGAGAGGATTCAGAGTCATTTCTCTCAAGCTTTTTGTTGCTGTTTCTCAGACCCAGGCATGTTACCCTGAGATAGTGGCATGTACTTATTATTTTTAAAGATTTTATTTAGTTATTTACAGAGAGGGGAAGGGAGGGAGAAGGTGAGGGAGAGAAACATCAGTGTGAGAAACACCCATCGGTTGCCTCTCCCACACACCCCAACCACAGGGACCAGGCCCGCAACCCAGGCACATGCCCTGACTGGGAATCGAACCAGCGACCCTTCGCTTTGCGGAACGACGCCCAACCCACTGCGCTACACTGGCCAAGGAAATAGTGACACTGTTTTAAATAAAGAGATTGAGCAGCCTCGTCTGCCTGTCTTTTGACTGGGCCGTCAGACAAAGCACTTTTAGCGACTATGGGATCACAGAAGCAAACCTCAGAGCCAGCCCCAGAGAGCTGGGGTGCTGCCCTCGTGTGCTAGGAAAGGTGGAAGCCGGGAAAGCAGCAGCGGCTTGCCGAGGTCGAGGAGCTTGGTCTTCTGAGTCAGATTCCAGACTGTTCTGTGCATTGAGTGTCTGTGATTGAACGTGACAGTGGTGGGGAGCCCTGCAGATAATAAAAGCTGAGATGTGAAAGGTTTTTTTTTTAGATAATACTTTCATATCTCATTTTCTCATTAGAAATTTTTGAGGCTACAGGTAGAGCTAGGCATACCACCGAGTCTCTTCAGGGACTCAGAAATCGGGGAACCCCTTGATATGTTTGAATATATATATATATATATATATATATATATATATATATATATATATATATATATATATATATGCTATGGTTTATATGCTCACCCAGAAGGGCAAGTTCAAGTTTTCTGAGAAATGTAGGCTGTCCTTTCTACAGGTTTCTTTCATATTCTCTTCTTCTTCCCCCCACCTCCCTGAGCCAGTGCCCGGCTGCTGAGGCACCACCGCAGAGGTGGCCTTGTATCTCATTAGAAACAAAGAGCGTGGAGAGCGGACCCTCTAGGAATCGCCCCCAGGAGCCGGATGAACGTTTGGGGCTTACGGAGGGTAGCTGCCCTGACCATTTAGACGACCAAGTGACAGGACCGTCATGTTAATCCTCCCCCAGGGGCAGGTTCATGATTTTTCTCCGACTGGTGAGCTGCTTGTCACACTCGCATTGACGGAATGCTTTAGGTTTGACTTCTTTTTATGTGATTATATCACGGGGCGCGGGAAGAGACTTTTAATACCGTTTCTTTGATCTGCCAGTCTTGTAACGGTTGCATGCTGGTTTAATTATCGCAGCTTTATAGGACAAGGCCTCCTCGTCACCTGGAAGGGCACCCAGGGGCAGAACTCATTGCCTTGCGAGACCTGTGGCCACTGGCCCCTTGGGGCTGACCCGTGGGGCATGAAGACTCATGAAAGGTCATGGGGAAGCTTTTGGCTCTGGTCTGACCACGGCCACTGGCCCTTTCTACCAACCTCCTCACAGAGAGTGAGTTAATCACGGTGAAGCCTGGCCCTCCCTTCAAACTCTAAAGTCCCAGGTCAGCACAAGCGTTCTCCGTTTCCTGGGGACAAACGTGCCCCATTTCCTCCTGGACTGCAGGTCGGGACCTGTTTGCTGCAGCTGTGATGTGCCTTTCGTCTCAGCCGCCTGCCAGGCCAAATCAATTGGGCTCTTTTGGCGTGTCAGCTCCCCTTGATATTTATTTCTATTTAATTGGGCAGTCCCGTTTCGTTGGGCTGCCTACCTCAGTTTTAGTTGCCTCTTTGTCGCTTCTCCTTGGACTCACGACCCTCCCCTTACTGCCGTCTGCAGCCACGTTGTGGGTCACTCGCTCTGCATATCCCCAGGCACCACCCCGAGGTTTCACTCCAAATACAGCGAAGCTGCTGGGTACAATGCAGGACATCACGCACTATTTGGGACGTGCTTTATGGGGTGCCATGTAATGTTGGGGTACACTACAAAATTGTTCATTGTTTATGTGAACTTGACATTGAACTGGGCATCTGTAATTGCATTTGATGCATCTTGTCACCCTGAATGACAAGTGCCTCTTTGCCTGGGAGGTGCAACAGGGGGACCCATGACCAGCTCACGGCCTGGGCTTCCCTTCACTTCTCTACAAAAATCAATGTCCTTTGCCTGTTAAGAGTATCGGGTGGGGGTGAGGGAGATGTCAGGATAAGCGCAGACATTTTTTTTTATCACACTGTTGATACTTATGGTAGCATTGAATTCAAAAGGTAATTTATCTTTCTTCTGACTCACAAGCGAGCAGCCATGCGACATCGGCTGCACTGTGCACGCTGGAATCCACTGTGTGGGCTGCGTACCACGGCCACCATCTCCACACGACATCATTTCAGTCTGGGAGTCGAAATTACCCCTGCCAGCCTCCCAGCCCCCGGATGTTGGCTGAACTTGAGACGACGCCTTTTGATTCATACCAGAGGACCAGGCTCCAGGAAACCCAAGCAGCCTTGCCACTCGGCTCGGTGGCCATGGAAACACAGGCCACATTCCTCTGCGGCAAAGACTTCCTGTGCAAAATACCTTCGGGGCCTAGCCAGTGACCCTCTTGTACTGAGCAATGTTTGCTAATAAATTCTGTCTGTTTCAAGAGGGAAATACCAGTCGTTTACTTTCGATTCTGTGTCCCTTGCCTTTGGAATGCAAATTCACAAAAACACCGCTGAGATCAAGGTCTGTGAGTTTGGCGCCTCCGTTTCGGCTGATGACCGAATCCTGGTGGGTAGGGTTGTCAGAGCAAACTAATTAGCCTTATGTATTCCGATCTTCCAGATCCTGTGTGAAAAATACTCCCTTTAGCTTAGTGTATCTGTCTCCAAAATATTACCCGTGGGAAAATGATGTTCCCATTCCGTTCATCGCCTTTTGGGCCCATCGCAAATCCTGGTATTTAAGGTCCTGCAGTTAAATGATTCTGTCCCGGAGCATGCGATGGAAATGCAAGGTAAATAATTACAGGAGCGGGACCATATGCCCGAGCAGACAGAATGCACCTTGATGGGGGACGGAGCGTGTTCAGATAAATCACGTCCAGATTGCGAGGTGCAGGATGGCGTGGGCTGCGGGCAGGTGCCCCTGTGGGTCGGAAGGACTCAGAAGTGCTGCTGGCTGGGAGCCTTCAGCCATCAGTCCTCTCCAGAAACTGCCCTTGGCTGCGGAGGTCATGCCATCACGGGGCCGCCTGCATCCAGCAACTTCTTTGTAGGGGTGAAAGGCTCAAATCCTGACAACTCTGGAGGGTCCTCTCAGTATCCGAGCTCCCCGGGGGGCGGGGGTCAGCTGGAGGCCTTCGTTGAGGGGGTAGCACAGTCCACCTTCTTCCCATCATTTCTTTCCCTTTCTCCAGGGATGTTATTCCCAAGAGCACCTCCAATGAGCTTCCTGCATGCTAATCTCCGTCTCAGAGTTTGTTTCCCAGGGAACCAACGTGTACCTGGTGCAACCAGGAATGGTCTGAGAGGCAGGCAGCCAGAGAGGATTCTGCAACTGAACCACCCACTGTCTGGCTCAGGATGCCGACCTCGGACTGCCGGAGCCGGGGCGGAGCTTAGCTCCAGGAAAAAGCAGCAGTGCAATGGTTAAAACGTTTGCTGCTGGTAAATTTGGATGGTGTGCCAGTGAGAGGGAATATACAGGTAGGTGAGGTGCACTGGGTGTTTGAGAAAAATGGGGAGAATCGAGATCAGAAGGACAGTGGAGCTGGTAAGTGTTGCAGGAGCAATTTTGAAAAATGAGAGGCGGACAGTGAGGGCACAAACCGCAAGGCGGTTACGCGAGTCAGAGGCCTGCTTGGCCGCACAGAAAGGAGTCCCTGGCTGCTGCGGCCACAGAGCAGGAAAGGCTAAGGGTCATCCCGGCATTTGACCACGAGTAGCAGAGCTTTGTGAAGGTTGAGCTCCCAACCTGGGCAGGTCCACTCTAACCAGCTCAGGCCCCTGATTAGTGAAGAATGGAACCTGGAGACACAAGGTGGGAGCATCTACGTGGATGCACTTAAAAATCCCAACAACCTGAACACTCCGAACCTGCAGAATCGACTCCCTCCGCCACAGGAAGGGCTGGCATTCACCTCGCTTGCTTGAAGACACAGCAGAAGCCGTCTTCCTGCAAGAGAGCAGGCGCCCTTGTCAGGGCTCACCTGCCAGTCACTAGCATGGCGTCATACTGCCACCCAGAGCCGGGAGGAGCTTCGGGGCCTAGGCGCCACCTGCTGGAGGGAGGCTGCAGCGGACGTACAGGGCGGGGTTCTGAGTGTGGGGGTAGGGCAGGAGACTGGGGGTTGTATTGACCATATTTCCTGTATCCTTCACGCTCTGGCATTGGAGCCTCGATCCTGAAGAGCCTGCTCCTCCCAGAGCTGGCAAATTCCCAGAGATAGCAAACGATTCCCCCGTGAGCATGCCTTTCTGTGCAAACCAGCCAATCCCAAGCCCATTCCCCAACTGTCTCCTTTATCAAACTCGCAGGGCCAGATGCCCCGAGGGTGCCGAAAGTATTCACACTATCCAATCTTAAACTCACTCAGTGTGCGATGGCTGCCTGGCCCATGCCGTCCCACAGAAACCCCGAGAAAGACTCCGGGCCACCGTCTCCATCCTGTTTCTGACTCCTGGCGGTCCCGGATCCTTCCCCATGGCGTCCTCGCCTTGCCTGAGCATGCGGGGAGAGCAGGAGGTTGGCGTCCTGTGCCTGGTTCATGTTCTGGACCCGAGGTTGTGGTCAGACTCAGAACCCAGTGGCTGGGCAAGAGGCCGGGTCTCCGTGAGAAAAAACCTGAGCCATCACCATTATATGTAGTACTGTTTGCCCTGGTCTTTCTCCGAAGATCCTTACAGTGGTTTTCTTAGGCGACGGCATGGATGGCTCTCAGAGCCATGCAGCCTGACTGCGGCAGCCCTGTTAGAACGAGGTGCACGGGGACCAGGTGGGGAGTGGGATTCGGGCCCAGGTCTGACTGACAGTGGGTCCACTGGGCCCCTTGACCCCTCTGGTGATCACCGCCCCAGAACCGGAGTATACAATTTCAGTAAATGTACTTCGTGTAGGCTTTGCCCCCACGTTACTTCCTTGGCCTTGGGAGTTAAAAAGTAAGAGATGAGGTCTTTGGAACTTCCCCTCATTAGCCAAGATAGTGACGCTAAACCAATATTGATTCTGGGAGAAATTGCAAAGGTTAGTGACACCTTGTGGGTTTGGGGGCCGTGGGAGGGTCGGCAGAGGGAGGGTCGGAAGGGGGTGGAGAGAGGTTTGGGAGCATGGGATGAAAAAGGCTCATCATGTGGAGAGAACAGAGACCTCCCACCTTCTCTGGCTGTGGTCTGCCCAGGGCATCTGGTGTGCAGAGAAAGGTCCCTGGCAACAGAGCCGATCGCTGCTGTTTAGAAAGTCCATTCAGAACAGCCTCCCCATCGGCCAGTTCCCCCCGGGACTGTCCTAAGCAGAAAAGGGAGCCGGGAGACCATGCACCCAGCAACCTCTTTTATTCGATAAGTTCAAATCGGATACTATTATATTAATTTTGATGTTTAAGTCCACCAGCTGGCTTCTAAAAAGGGTGAGCCAGCTGGACACTATCCTTTCCAATCCTTTTCCAAATAACCTCAGAGTTAGCTGGTGGGATCTCCATCAACTGTGTCCTTTTAACATGGCCCCATTGTTATTTTTTTATCCTCATCTGAGCACATTTTTTCCCCATTGATTTTAGAGAGAGAGGAAGGGAGGGAGGGAGGGAGACGAAACATTGGCGTGAGAGAAAAACATCAATCTGATGCCTCCTGTACGTGCTCAGACAGGGAATCAAACCCACAACCCAGGAGCGTGCCCTGACCAGGAATCGAACCCACCACCTTTCAGTTACGGGATGATGCTTCAACCGGCTGAGTCACATTGGCTAGGGCTCCCCATCATTTTTTAAACATCTCCTTCCTTTCTTGCATAAGCTGTTCCAGGCTCCCCGAGTTCCCGTTCTAGCCCAGGAATCATCCATTTCCGGTTTCCTTCTAGTGGAGAAAGGTCTTTAGACACCAAGAATAGATGTCCCGCGTGGATGTCCCATGTGCCCACTGGGGCTGGGATGTTGTTGTTTCTGGGCTTTTGCAGCTGATGGAGCTAGAATTTGTTTGTATGCGTATACACACACATGCACATGCACACAGAGATGTCATTGTGTATCTGTGGAGAGGTCCTTGAATGACATCATTTCTCTCGTTCAGCATCGTTTCCTTGTAACGTTGATGAGACGTTGTAGAAGCTTCTCTTGTTTATATCAGGCTACTGTAAAATTGGTGCCATTATGCATCATTTTGCCACAGTTCCAGGAACCTAGTGACAATGTTGTGAGGACTTACTCCATGTATTTATATATATATAATATATATGTATTCAGCATACATATATTTATATTTATATATATGTGTGTGTGTGTGTATATATATATAAATTCTGTCTGGAAAAAGTCCAGCCGTTGTTAATATAGTGAGAACAGTTTGCAGAACATTGTTGCAACCTGGCAGCCAGGGAGAGTGGACTGGAATGCACATGTGTGAAAAATGACAGCTTCACTATACCAGTCAGTGGGGACAGTAGATGCTGTAGACTGAGCATGTGCACTGTGTGGCCGTCACATTGAAAATGAATGAGCGAGTAGAGCCACGAATCTGTATCCAATTTTGTGTTAAGCTTGAACATTCCTCTGCGGAAACTATTTGGATGATTCAGGAGGCCGCAGCTATGGGCAACCGGTGATTGGCAGCTTCAGGACAACACGCCCACTCATGCACCACATCTTACGCATAGTTTTTTGGTGAAACATCAAATCACCCCGGTGACTCAGCCCTGCTACAGCCCAGGTTTGGTGACTTGCGACGTCTGGCTTTTCCCAAAACTAAAATCTCCCTTGAAAAGGAAGAGATTTCAGATCACCAGCGAGATTCAGGAAAATATGACAGGGCAGCTGATGGCATTTGGGAGAACTCTGTGAGATCCCAAGGTGCCCACTTTGAAGGTGACTGAGGAGTCATTGTCCTGTGTACAATGTTTCTTATATTTTGTATCTTCCTCAGTAAACATCTCTATTTTTCATTTTGCATGGCTGGATACCTTCTGGACAGCCCTCATTGTTCACGCATGTGCATTCCAGTCCGCTCTCCTTGGCTGCCAGGTCACATTGGTGTCATGCAAACCGTTCTCATTACATTAACAATGGCTGGGCTTTTTCCAGACATCCTTCATATGCATTTATGCTTTCGTTGTTATATATTTAAAACGATGAGTTCATACTGTACTTCCCACTACAGTCCCATACCTCAGGGTTCTTCCCATCCTTCCTTGTCACTTCCCCCGGATCGACTTTACTTACTTGCTCAAGTCCCTTATCTGCTCCATGGAACTAACGCCCATGCTCACTGGTGCCTCTGTGGGGTCACCTCCCACTGTCACCTCTGTGTGGCTCAGCCCCTAGACACCGATGTCCCGGAGAGGGCCAGGGAAGGGAAGGGAAAACTAAAAAGCAGTTTAAAAGAAAAGCATGGAAAAGACAG